ATGGTAAGTTAGTGTGCCCTGCCAACACCCTGTTCGAACCTACAAGACACCGTGAATGAAACACACCTGACGTTAGAGGATCAGTACCTCTTATCCCCGAACCCTGCACCTAAATCTGTAGTTAAGCAGGGTCCTGAGCACATTACCAAGGGTTTTTGCCAAACATAGCTATGGTAGTAGCTGACTTCGACCCCTAACAAGAACCGCAAAGATCTCGGTATTCCCTAAACCCTAAACCCTAAACCCTACACCGCCTACTTACTGACTGACACCTGATCCTGAAAGTGCCCCTTTCGTGGCATCCTGGGCTCAGCGCAGGTGCCCGCCTCCTCCCGGAACGCCTGCTCGCCAGAAATGCGACTCCGGGAAACTTTGGAGGTTCAAAATGCGAACTGCATAGTCATAGTAAGGTCTCGGGGAATATTCTAACTTTTTTTGTGTGTGTGTGTGTATGTATGTATGTAGATATAAATGTAATTATGCATACATACATACATACATACATACATACATACATATATACATACCTACATACATAGATACATAGATACACAGATACATAGATACATAGACATACATACATACATATATAGTGCTTATATAGTCCAAAGTGAGGCGGCTAGGATCCAGAAAGTTGAGGCTCGAAGTTCAGGAGCTTCCGAAATCTCCTGGGAACCTGCTGCCTCTGATTTACTACGCATTCCGAAGGATTTAGGGTAGGATTTAGGGTTTAGGGTTTAGGGTTTAGGGGTTTAGGGTTTAGGGTTTATGTTATGGTGACTTCTTCATTCCGGATCATTAACAAGGACCCAGTGCAGCGATAACCAAGGTAGGCACCGGGGCTATGGAACTTCAGCTTTCAGGCCTCCTACTTGATGGCTCCGGGCTACCAGAATAGGAACTTTGTTGGACGCGGCCGCCACGACATGCCGGCTTCTGGTGTAGAGCTCAAGGCATTGAGGGTCGCAGGCTAGGCCTAGGCCTTCAGGGCTGAGATTTTGGGCTTCCGGGACTGAGATTCTAAGCTACTAGGGCTGACAATAACTAGGTTCCCCAGTAGCCCCTGAATAATAAGGGTACCCTTTTTCTTCTTATTTGGTTTTAATAAGGAGACCCCCAACAAAAAGGGCAAAAGGGTACTACTGGGGAACCTAAATAATAGTAAGGGGTCGGGGTCCTGGTCTCCTTTGTCGAGTTCACGAACTTAGGCAGCGGTTCTCTTGAAGGAGGAACCGACTGGGCCGTAGCAAAGACTGGACCAAAACAAACACACACACACACACACGCAAGCACGCACACAAACTATATAAGCAGCACTACAATGTTTCGGAAGCTTCCCACCACTAGCCAGCAAAACGGACTTGAACCTCAAGTGCTGAATCCTTACAAGAGATCGCCCTGAATCACTGAACCGGCAGTGCAAACGCCTAATGTAGGAGCCTTAAGAACTAGAATAAGGTTTTGGGTGGGTTCCTTATTTTAATTATAGTATAATATACCCCAAACCCTATTCTAATTATTAAGGCCAAACCCTGAACCCTAAAACCCTAAAACCCTAAACCCCTACAGCCCTAAAGCCCTAAAGCCTTAAACCCCTCTCCGATCCGGAAGCCCCACGTCCTCTACAACGCCCATGTCCCAAAGGGTCGTAGGTACTGTTTTGGGGGATACTTCCCAAAATCATAATAGCAATTCCTGATATAGAAACCCTACATTCTACTATGTAGGTACTTTGGACCCTTTGGGTATTCGGGGTTCTAGAAGGCTTAAACCCTAAGCCCTAAACCCCTTTATTCTAATTATAGTATAATATACCCATTAAGGCCAAACCCTAAACCCTGAACCCTAAACCCCTCATATTAAACCCTCTCCTCATGGTATAATATACCCCAAACCCTATGCTAATCATTTAAGGCCCTCATATTAAACCCTGAACCCTAAACCCTCTCCGATCCGGAAGCCCTACGTCCTCTACAACGCCCATGTGCAGCCTGACGAAAGCGCTCCAGCTCCAGGGACAGGCCAACGGAGCCCTGGCCCAGGGGTTTTAGGAGTTTTGAGGGTTTCGGGTTTAGGGGTGTAGGGTTATAGGGTTTTAGGGTTTAGTGGTTTAGGGGTTTAGGGTTATAGGGTTTTAGGGGCTTAGGGGTTTAGGATTTAGGGGTTTAGGGTTTAGGGGTTCAGGAGTCAGGGTACACAATGAGACTCAGCATGTAAAAACGATCGGCATGTCACACCCAATTTTGACCCTTATTGCAACGTCCGCTGACCCCTATAGTATCGCATAAAGCAGAAGACACACCCCGACAGCCTGCTAGTCTAGGGATCAAACCCCGAAACCTCTGAGTCGTAAAAGCCCCCTAAAGCCTCTCCTTTAGGGTTTAGGGTTTAGCGGTTTAGGGGTTTGGGGTTTAGGGGTTTAGGGTTTACACCTTTATGGGTTTCGGGTTTAGGGTTT